GCGTAGGGAAATAAAAGGTAATGTTTCTTACCAAGCCTTCTTCACATTCTGCTTACAAGTACGCTGCTGCGATGTAGAAATTTGTCTTCCTGTGCCTGTATCCAAGCAAGGAAGGGGTTGCCAGGTAAAAGAAAAGTAGAAAACTTCACGAAACTTCTTCTGGCCCTGTGGGAACGTGTCCAGACAAATCTGCTCCTGGTGCTGTGGCCATTTCGACGTCTGAAAGGATCAACCTCTGTTTTCCTCCTGCGTACACCTTGCCCCACAGCCCTGCAGCCTCCGCACGCTTCTGACTGCGCGTTTGTCAACGCCGGCCTTTTCTTACTGCGTCTGGGATTGCACATCTGGAAAACAGCTTTCAAATCCTGCTCCCAAATTTAATCTTCAGCCAGTATCTAGTTTAATGGACATGAAATTATGTGTTCCCATGGGAAAACAACAACATAAGCTTTATCTAAGTGCAAAATCTTATTAGGACACGCTATCGCATCTCTGTGCATGGGCAAATATTTTGGGCTCTTTTGCAAGCCGTGATGTTGTAGGGCAAACAGAACTTCTCCTTTGGGTGAAACCTGAATGTTCACACAAAGAAATTAGCGGCATAGGCATGTTACTGGGCATGAAATTTGCGTGGCCAGAGGTTGCAGGTCCGCGTGCTGTAATCCTGAGTTACACGCAGCTGCTGTTCCAATATTCACTCTGATTATCGTCGTTTCTCTACTGCTCATTACCTTTTGGGTGTCTGAACTTACATATATGCACATACATACATATATATACATACATCTATATATCACAGAATCCCAGACCGTTAGGGATTGGAAGGGACCTCAAAAGCTCATCCAGTCCAATCCCCCTGCCGGAGCAGGAACACCCAGATGAGGTTACACAGGAAGGCGTCCAGGCGGGTTTTGAATGTCTGCAGAGAAGGAGACTCCACAACCTCTCTGGGCAGGCTGGTCCATGCTCTGTCACCCTCACTGAGAAGAAGTTTCTTCTCCAATTGAAGTGGAACCTCCTGTGTTCCAGTTTGTGTCCGTTACCCCTTGTCCTGTCATTGTTTGTCACCGAGAAGAGCCTGGCTCCATCCTCGTGACACTCACCCTTTAAATATTGATAGACATGAATGAGGTCTCCCCTCAGTCTCCTCTTCTGCAAACTAAAGAGACCCAGCTCCCTCAGCCGCTCCTCAGAAGGGAGATGCTCCACTCCCTCCATCATCTTTGTAGCCCTACGCTGGACTCTCTCCAGCAGTTCCTGTCCTTCTTGAACTGAGGGGCCCAGAACTGGACACATGTATATATACACACACATACATACATACATACATATACACATACATATATACACATATACATACACATACATATATACATACCTATACACACACATACATACATATATATACATACATATATATATACACACACACATACATACATACACATATATACATATATATACATACATACATTCTGAACTTCATAATAATACATGAAAGTTCTTTTGGGGCTCACATTTTTACTTCTGGAGAGTCATTTTGGGGCTGCTCTGCTTTGCCCTTCTGCCAGACATTACCCTGTATAGCAAAGGGTGCAGAGTGGTGGTATACAATTCATAAATTAATGTAACATATTAGGGCAGGTTGACATCCATACCAGCTCGGGTGAATCGATGACCAAGGACTGTGTTAAAGATCGGGTTAAAGAAACACCCGTGACCCATTTTGGGACTTTCTGGCACTCATTGCTACTTGTCAAGAAACATTCAGCTGAACAGTGATGTTAGTAGAAGCCGGCCTGGGTTATTAATGCGTTTTAAGTTCAGCTGACAAATCTTTTATGTCTTCTGAGGTGGAAACTCCCCCTTTGGATACATGGCAGCACGCATGTTTCCTTTCCTTGCTGACCCTGACCAGATGTTGCACCAAGGTTCTTCACTTCCCAGAAACTGAACAGGCACTGTGGTCTCTGCCCCTCTGTCTGCTTGCACCCTTTCCAGATACTTCACGCAGTCATTAGAAGGTTTCCCTGAACCTTTTTTTAAAGTTTAATTTCTTCTCTCGGTGTCCTCTTGATCTACCTGGGGGTATAATCAGTTCTGCATGTTCACACGCCTTTGAAATTCAGTGGATCGTTATTGTATCCTCCTCCTCTCGTCTTTGAAGTGTCCGGTCAAACTAGATATATATAATATATTCATCTGATCTCAAATTTCCTGCTTGATAAATGATTCTTGCCCTGCGTAATACAGCTGAGCGAGCGGTTTCCAAGAAGTAGGCAGTCTCATCTGCTTTAGGGCTTCCCCAGGTCAAGAGACACAGTAAAAGTCATCGTTTTTTTACGGTGAAAAGAAACAACCTAGGCATTGTCTTTTTCATTTATTTTTTAATTCATTTTTAAATAATTTATTTCCTGTAAAACAAATCGTTTTGGCTATTTTATGTTTTCTGTGGAAATATTACTTAATACAACGTAGCTTCGCTAACGGTGGTGGAGGACCTTGCAGGAAAGGCAAAACCTGCCACACTTGTGAAGATTTGGAGGGGACTGGTTTGACACACAGATGAACTGGATAGCATTAAGGAATGGTAATAAAAAACAACACCGCTGTTTATGGAACTTACGAAAAGCAGATTTATTTATTTTTAAAGTATTTCTGATAATGTTAGAGCAGGTGTATGAAGCAGTGTGACCAGAAACTGATGGGTTTGTTGGCTTTTTTAATTGACTGGCTTCCCCTGATTGTTTTTGTTATTTTTTTAAAGAAAATAAATTCGTTTTCCTGGGTGTGTGTGATGATTCTGCCCAGCCCATAGGCTTTGTTTGACACGGTATCATGGAGTTGGATTTATTGACTTGTTTCTTCATTTCAAAGAGGTTTAGGCACCACCAGTACAACTGCTGGGACTGGATAAATGCAGTGATCATCCTGTATCTGGTGATGAACCAGAAGACAGAGAACTTGATCTAATAAGATTTTCTGATCTCAGTGTTTCAGCCTTTTTTTTGTTAGGTTGGGAAATTCCTTGTCCAGCTGATTTCCAGGTTGTGCAAGCTGTTAAACATTGGCTGAATTCGCCTTTTCCCCATCTATAGGTCATTTGGATCCAGGCTTCCTAGCAGGTGACAAAATCTCCTCTGGTAATGCCCAGATCAATGAAGAAATTAATATCGCCTCTTCTGATAGTGAAGTAGAGATTGTTGGAGTTCAGGAACATGCCAGGTATGGTTTCCTTTTTTTCTCGGTTTTTCCACTTCTAATATTTCTTTCATTTTATCAAGGTATCTGTATGGCCAAAATTAATAAAGAAACAAAACCGCTGACTTCCACTTCTGTAGTTATCTGTTCTTGATTGATGCCCAAAAAGTAGCAAACGTTGCACTTCTGTTTCCTATTCCCCCTGTCGCAGTGACACCAGGATGTGTTTTTCTTCGGAATGGTACCAAATCGATAACTGTTCAGCTTAAGCTTGTGATTCGATATCAGACATTAACAGGCTACATGTAGCATTAAAATAACAAATACTGAGATACCAAACTTATATTCATCAGGAACCATTATTAGGAGTTCAGATTTTAAGGGCATAGTGTGAATATGCAAATACATAAATAAAAATATTTATGTGGGCTCTTGTTTCATTTTAAAATGCTCACTTTAAGCATTTAATCAGCTTCCAGTTTATTTAATTAATCAGCAGTTGTAAAAATACTATCAACTTTTCAATGGCTAATGTCATAAGGTAGCTCCTTTTAGATTAAAAATCAGATCCTTATAAATCTTGGGTTTATTTCAAGATACAAGAGATTCAAAGTATTCCCCCCAAAGTAGATGAGGGGAAGGAGGCCAGAGGTTTTTCCAAAGCTCAGATAGAAAGCTGTCCAGATGTGCTGCAGCTGTTGTTCTTGATAGCCATTTTTTGCTCTTCATTTTTAGTCTATGATCTTTCTTTGTGTTATTATGAAGCAGTTGAACAAGACTGGCACTTGCATATCGTGTGGAGGGTTAGTCTGGTGTAGTAAAAGCCAGTTAAAACATTATATGGACAGGTTCATGCTAAAACTAGTCTGCTGGCTGGTGGATGTTCAGAGGTGGAGAAGGGGAGTGAGCGACAAGGCGCAGAGCTGGTCCTCGTTGTCCCTTCACCACATCTTGAGGAAAGGGAAGGAGGATGTGCAGGACCCAGTTTTCCAGGCAGGAACCTGTGCAGATCGTGTGGGCACAGTGCAGCTGGGTGTGATACGGCCTCGAGTTGCACCAGAGGAGGTTTAAGTTGGATATGAGGAGGAAGTTCTTTACTGAGAGGGTCATCAGAAGCTGGAACAGGCTGCCCAGGGAGGTGGTGGAGTCGCCATCCCTGGAGGTGTTTAAAGACGAGTGGATGTTGTGCTGAGGGACATGGTGTAGTAGTGGACTTGGTAGAGCTGGATCAGTGGTTGGACTCGATGATCTTAAAGCTCTTTTCCAACCAAGACCATTCTGATTCTGTAAAGGGAAATTTCAAGGTGCTGAAGGAAGAGATCGAGTCTTTGCTTTTAAAGTAGTAAAAGCCTTGCATGGCTGACTCCTCTGGAAGATACGGATTCCGTAGGAAGTCGCTCTCCTGGCTGTTTCCAGCAGACCCAGGGCTTGCAGGATCTTTGTCCTCATGACAAGCAGTGTGTCCTCCACTTGTCCTCCACTACTATTTAGAGTAAATCTATCCAGCACTATGTACACACAGCCCTTCTGCTTGAGCGCCCCATGTACAAGAATGGAAATGTTAATTAAATGCAGAGCTGCTGTTAAAAATCACTTTTAGTAGATGCAGGCCAAAATAATTTCAGCAAAGGCAGACATAAAGCACGCTTTTGTGCTTTGCTTCGTTACCATGTCCCACAGACCGGTTCTTCCTGGCTCTGTTGAATACTTGCACATTTCAGCTGTTGGATTCCTACTGAGAGTTTCATTTGTCTTGCAGGTCGAGGCTTGCAGCCATGAAGTGTTGAAGGGCTTCAGACAGGGCTGTCGTTTGGAGGAGGTTTAGGTTTTTCATCAGTGTCTGTGCACGCTTAGTGAGCGTGGTGTTGGATCCAGTTCTGCTCGGGCTGGTTTTGATCGTGCTCCATACCCCACGCCGTCGTTGGGCTGGGATGAGTCGTGGCACCCTCGAGCTTGTCCATCACTCGTAGCTTTTCGGATCGGTAGCGAATTGGTGGTGGTCCTCATTGCTGGAATAGTTGGCATCTACTTAGGACACCAAGTCGTGTTTTTCTGTTTGTCTGATTTTTCTCCGATAGACTTTATGGGGTTTTTATGCACGTATATAAAATAGTCCTCCTCTGGGGGTTTTTCTGTAGGTATTTTTCCCTCCTCCTTTTTTGGGCTGCCTTTACTTGGTATCTTCCCTTACCCACAGACTGGAAAGCACGCTTCCTAGTCTAATGTTTGGTTGAACACTTTGCTGTTGGCCGCTTGCGTGACTTGTTTGAAGATCAACACTTCTATTTTTGCCAAGTATCATTTCTGTGAGATAATTTACGGCTTGCTTTTGTCATCTTCGGGGAGAAAGGTTAGCGTTAGCTCTGCCTAAGCATCCAGGACTGTTCCGTATCAGAACGACGGACCGCAGTCGCTGAGACCAAACGTTGTATTTAGTGTGCCTTGGTGTAAACTTTTCTTGTCAGTTACGCTTATAAATATTTCTTCTTAAGAGGAAGCTTTAAAAAAAAAATCCCCTACATTTGTTAGAGTTCCAGTCCCTTATTACTGATTCTTTGTAGATACTTACTCTAAGTGTGTGTTTTTAAGACCGAAGAGGCAATAAAAAGTCATTCTGAACATCACATCCAAAACTAAATAGCGTATCCAGGAAGGAAATGAGACATTTGTATTCAGAGAACTTCGAGCCTGGAGAATGAGATTTTTCATTTTATTTCCTGAGACTCTTGTCTCCAACCAGGGCCCACAGAGATGAGCAATAACCTAAGTAGTTCTGCAGAAAATCCATTGTGCTACCTTAAATTAAAACAAATAAAATGTAAATGTCAGGGATATTTGGCCAGTGCAGAAAACCTGGGTTCCTGAAATACGGTACCTGTGCCCTCACAAAAAGAGGGAAGCGATGCCCCAGCAGCCAAACACCTCCTGCTTCTGTGCCAGCGCTTGCAAGAGCAAAGCAACTTTTGGAGCACTGGGTATAGAGTTTTTCTAGTGCTTCATTCAGATTTACAGCTGGAAAGGGAGTCCCAAACACCCCAGTAAATTCCTCTCATCACATAACAAAATCAGTCTTTCATTTTGGTATTTTCCTGATTATTACTGGCCTGTACTTCAGCTGTCACGTATCTATTACTGATAGCTAAAAATGCTGTGCAAATAAGAGTGTCTGTACCTCGCTTCAGCAAACACTTGACCATGTGCTTGTCTTTAAATACGTGGTTTAGTCTCATTGATCATAATCGCTGAAAGCTCAAATGGTTTGCTGGAGTGGGGCTGTACGGTTATCGGTGAGCATTTCCCAGCGTGTCTGTAATCTTTAGTTAAGAAGTTAAGATGACCAAGTGTAGTGGCTGTAATAATGTAATTGCAAGGTGTCTCTTGTAATTACTGTAATGAAAGTGTCCTTTTTTTAATGTGATTTTGATTTCATATGGAAAGATAACTTTTCCTTCTGTCTCATCAAACCTCACTTAAATTTGTTGAATTCTTTTAAAAAGCCCAGTGGGTAAAACTCTCTGCCTCTGAGTAGTGACACGACGGGGCAGACTTCTTCAAGATCCTTGGGATCCATGCAGATATGGATACGTGCATAAAAACGCACGCATTTTACACCCACTCCAGAATTAATTCCTTAAAAATAATTTAATCCCTACCACCACCCCAGGTTTAAATCCAGGTGTAGTCTCAGCTCTGTCACTGGGTATTTAAGATGTCCCGGACTGTACAGGCAGCACATCCACGAGGACGTTTTGGAGAGGGACGTGTTAACAGGATACCCAAATGTTAAAACCACAGCAGCCGGGAATGCTGCGCCTGAATTCGGCAGCGGCTTTAACCCCCCTGTGTTGTCTCCCCGCAGGTGCGTGCATCCCCGGGGGGGTGTGATCCAGAGCGTCTCCTCCTGGAAGCACGGCGCGGGCGCGCAGCCATGGACCGCGGTGGCTCCCCAGCAGAATTGGTCCTCGCCCACCGAGGTCGTGGACCTGACTTTGGACGAGGACACCAGGCGCAAATACCTCCTGTAACGCGGCGTGGCTGCGCCCCCAGCCCTCCTCCCCGCCGCGGCGCAGGGGTTCGTGGTTAGAGCTGCAGCTCCCGACGCCCCCGTTCCTGGCACCGCCACCAAATCCAAACTCGCCGAGTTTCTCATTTCCATAAGAGCGCGGTATAATTTCGGTATCGTTTCAAACGGTTTTGCCTTCTCAGAGGAGGTTTCCTCCCAGAATTAAAAGCCAATCGCTCCAAATTTGAAGCACGTCTACAGTTGCTAACTTGTTAATCCGAAGAGATAACTGTGTGCAAACTTAGGTCCTCCCACCCTTCCCCACCTCCAGCTTCAGAACACTTTAATTCATCGCGAGTTTGTTAGTAGCAGTTAGCGTTTTGCCGTGTGAGCATCAGTACTTTGAGAAATGCTGTGTCTTCACTGACTTCAGTGGAACTGAGGGTATTCAACACTTCCGAAATTTGGGCCGAGTGTACTTATACCCAAGCCGATTTGGTTGCGTTCCCAGCAGGAGGGACTGTCTTCAGTACGAACGGCCCGTAACATATGCACTGAATAGCTTTTTAAGTAAAGGCTTTCTATTCTCAACATAATTTATAGTTTACACTCTCTTCAGTGCTGAGTCTTCTGTCTTGACTTGACTACTGTGGTTCACTGGTCGTTTCCCACAGCTTGTTACGGTTTAAAGTAGTAGTGGTAGTAACGGACTGAGCAGCAGCTGATTTTTTTTGCAAAAGCACAAGAAAATGAGAAGTAATAAAAAGCCTCAGCATCTTTCTTTTTAAATATAGCCGAACTTTTTTTTTTTTTACCTACATCCGAGCCTTGCCTGGAGTCAGAGAGAAACAAAACGTTTTCCTCATAGTCCTCATTTCTGCTGTGGCTTATTTGCTTCATTGACCATCTCAAGAAAAAAACCCCAAAACTTCCAGAAACCCCAGTCTGGCCAAGCACTTCAGCAGCTGCGTGGTGTTCAGCTCAGACATTTCACTGGGGCCATTCAAGTGCTTATGGGTCCTATCAGATGTTGCAGGATCAGGGCCTAAAGTCGTGATTTTGATTTTAAAACCAGATCTGCACCATTTTCCTGGCTCTAGGTCATGTCTCCCATCCCAGTTCGGGAATTGTCTGTAGGGTATGATCCAGGAAACGGTTTGTACTGGAATATTTACCGAAATCAGTGGAGCTCCTTGCTGTAGCGGCCTGTAGCTTCTGTAGCGTACGTAGGAATTCCTGCCCCTCATCTGTCACGTTGAGCCTTTCTCAAGGCAAAAAACCAAAGATTAGACTTTAACAGGATGATATTCACTTTAAATGTCTGTTGTGCAATTAAAACGTTCCTGTGTTTTCAAAATGTTTCTAGTGGGAATTTTGTACAGTTCTGTCATCAGAGATTTTTTTTTTGCCATTTACGGCTGAACCAGAGGATAGCCAAGACATGGAAAGGTCTGTTTTGGTTTTGTGTTGCCCAGTTCCTAAATTCATTCGGCTTCCAATAATCTTACCAGGAAAAATAAAATAGAATTACCTATGTTGTCACATAACCTAAAGGACAAAGCCAGCCCCGCAGTGGTGTTATAGTGAGTAACAAACAGCTTTTTCCTTCGCCAAGCAGAACGGTTACGACTGCGCTCGAAGGAACAGCTGGGTAGGGGATCGATACTCCAATTTCAGGCTTTCTAAAACACTGAACACAAGTGCATTGCATGCCCAGAAAATACCCGCAGTGCTTCTAGTGACCATGTCTGTCTCTGGGGGAGGGAGGGAGCCTGTTGGCGCTGCAGCAGGGAAGGGCCCCACGGGCTCGGTGGTGGTGGCTGCCCATCCCTTTTCTCCCCAGATTCTCACAGCGCGGCTCGGCCGTCGATTTCAGGGGTCGCACGCGCGGTCCCAAGGTAACTCTGGTTTTCGTGTGGCTGCTTGTCCTGCCTCACAGAGCCGTCTTGGTCGAGGAAAGCTGCAGGGACCCATTTGTTGTCCTTCCGCGACAAGCGCGAGCTCGCTCTCCCGTTGTTCGGTTTGTATATGATGTGACTTCCATGTGTATATAGAAACGGCTGCGTCCTCGCCAGACTTCCTCCAATTGTGCACTGTGTCTGTTCAAACAGCTCCTGTACCGTAGCCTGATGCAGGTTTTATTTTCTTTTATTTAAAACACTACGTATTGTTGACAAATTTGAAAGGGTAGTGAAAACTGCAATCACTGGATAGCTAGGAAGTGGGTTGTTTTTTTTTTTAAATCTTTTTTTTTTGGTTGTTGTTTTGCATTTTGGGGTTTTTTTTTGTTGTTTATTTTTTGTTTTATGTTTTTTTTTCTTTTTCAAAGAGAGCAAAAGGTGCCTGCACGGTTTTGCTTTTCTCAGCAGAGAAGAGAAAGCTGAGCCGTCGATGGCTGAGAACC